CCTATCATCAATGGTATTGGATAATCCAATAGGTCGGAAATTTTTAAGGTCATTAGCATTGGGATTTTTGGGATAAGGCATAAGTAAGTATGGTTAATAATGTGAGGGAATGTTTGGGTGGTGAAGACTTTGTGACAACATTCAAGGATGGGCGCTCTAACAAGGTTCCAATATATTTGATAAAAGAAAGTGTGGATGTCATCTGGCCCGGGTGCCTTAAAGGGTTTCATGGACCAGACGGCCTTAATGATTTCATGATTTTGAAGAGGCCTATCTAGGGATGAGAGATCTATGTTACTAAAGGACAAGGGTTGGTGAGTGATGGCATTGAGCCTTGTATATGTATGATCTGTTTGGAAAAGGCTCTCAAAATAATTAGTTGCATGTTCGATGATTCGATTTTGTCTTGTGATCCAATTTCCCTCCTCATCCTTAAAGAAGTTGATTCTATTAGTACGCCTTCTATTTAAGACACTAATATGGAAGAATTTGGTGGCTGCGTCGCCTTGATTGAGCCAATTAATGCGCGATCTAATTTTTCAATGATATCATCAAGGAGGTTTATTTCGAGGTTCTTAAGAAAGGAACTAGTAGGATAATGGGGGGGCTTTGGATGCCATTGATCCTGGAAAGTAACCTCTTTTTATTAGATAACACATTTCCAAAAGTCTCACTAGTCCAGTTCCTTGCTTGTTCCCTAAATCTACTAGAAGCCTCAATAAAGTTGTTCCCATGCCAACTTTCTTGGACTATTGTAACAAAGTTTGGGTGGGAGCACCAATAAGTTCTAGCTTAAAATCCTTTTGGTAGTTCCTCCTAGGTATATTATTAAGATTAATGAGGAGGGGGTTATGATCCGAGTAGATTCTAGGAAGGTGAGTGATAGTAGTGTTGGGGTATTTTTCTAGCCAAAGGTTATTGCTAAAGCATCTATCTAGACGTTCAAGAATAAGACCAGAACTTCTACGCCTAAGGTTAGACCAAGTGTACTTGGGGCCTTTAAGTCCCAAATCAATGAGATTACAATAGTTGATACATGAGAGGAGGTGTGACACCCTAGCATGGTTAATGGTTCTGCCGCCCCATTTTTCATCTCGAGAAAGAATATCATTAAAATCACCACCTAGGAACCAACTTCCTTTATAAGAATTAGCAATGGATATGAGATTATTCCAAAGCATAATGCGATTATTAAAAACAGTGTAGTACTAGCATAAAGTACACTAAAAGCCAAGGATCATGGTTAGGGAGTACCTGAAGCATTGCATGTATCTCTTGATTTCAGGAAGATATTTGAGACATGTTAATGATGTTGTTATCCCAAAGAATGACGATCCCCCCACATTGTCCCTGAGCTGGGACCTCTAGCATGTTAGAGAAGTTGAAGCTGTCTTTGAGGGGTAAATAAGAAGACATTCTAGTTTCCAGAAGTGCTACCATGCAAGGATGGAGATTATCAATGAGATCCCTAAAGCTGCATCTGAAATCATCGTTATTTGCTCCCCCTAGTATTCCAGATTACTCGATTCATTTGGAATGGATTGGATGGGGTTTGGAGAGAGGATTGACTCGACTGGGAGGGAAGATTGTTCCCCTTCAGAGACGGGCTTAGAATCACTGCAAAGTTCCCCGCTGCTACATTCTGGGGGAGGGGGGGCTGATGTCTAGAGAGCATTTGTAAAGAGCTACTGGACATTTGCAAATGTATTTCTTATTCTTTAGCGCTTGGAATAGCATGACTTTGGCTTCTTTGATGTTTGAAATCTCTGTGAATGATGTTATTTCTAGTGGTTGGATTACTTCCACTTGTTCTTCCATCTCTTGCTCTTCTGGTTCTGGCTCGTTGTGGTGGTGGGGATTCTGAGCCTGATGGATATCCATTGGAACTAGAAACTGTTGGAGTATTGGTTGCCATGAGTAGAGGAGTGGAGTTAAGTTGATCGCTTCTTGTGGGGTGTAGAATGGCAGTTGGTAAAGAAGATCATGTTGTGCAGTGGGTTGAAGTGTGGAGGAAATTGCCACTGTGCTTGCAAGTTGTGTATTAGAGCTGGTGCCAATGCTGGGGCAATAGGATCTAGGAATTGGTGTTTTGTGGGGGTATTGGTGTTCCTAATGGAATTAAGTTCCATTCTATTAGAATACTCAGGGTCAATAGAATTATTTTCGTCCTATGGCAGAAAAAGAGAGAATTTATTCATAGTAGGGATTGGGTTACTAGTAACGAGATTGTCGCTAGTATTACCAAACACTTTATTAGGGGAATTTATGGGGCTACCTGAGATGCGGGGGTCAACTTTCTGGGTTGGGTTGGGGTAGGACGCAATATTAATCAAACATTTTGATTTATAAACAAACTTTTGGGTGTTGATGTACTTACCTGTTGAAGCATCAAATAATTTGACATTGATACCTGGCTCCGGCGAGTTTAATACCTCTGGTAGAGGGTCTTGTTGTTTTGCCTTTTGCTTGAGTGCTCCTTTTCCTTTTCTTCTTGTAAAGGACACTGTGTGCCATTGATCCTGTGGGCGAGATGATGAGCGGGTGTCCCAGAGTACATTTTCCTCCTGGGCAGGCGATTTCTGGTTTCTTTGGGAGCATGATTGGCTCGTATGGCCAAGTCTTCCGCAGAACATACAAAGGAAGTTTTCCCCTTCATAGATAAGCTGCTGCATGTGTGTACCTATCAATATGCCTGATTGGACTGGTTGGTTTAGTGGCACCTCTACGCATAGTCGTGCATATCTGCCTCTGAGGTTGGAGCTAGTACATGCATCAACTCTAAGCAGTTTTCCAATGGTATTTCTAATTTTGCTTAGGATGATTGCAACGTAGAATTCTGTGGGTAGCTGGGGTAGTCTTACGCAAACTACTGAGTTTACCTGGGTTGCTTTACTGGCCATAAAATTGGGCTCCCACCGCCGCACTGATAAATAATGTCTGTTTATGAACCATGGATCGTTTTTCAGGACCTTGGTCATATTTTCTTCCTCTATGAATTTGACTATAAAATAGTCTGATCCTAGATCAATAAGTGAGAATTGCTCAGATGGCTTCCATAACTCTATGATCTTAGATTTAAGGTATTGATGGATAACTCTTTTACCCAGTAGTTTGATTATGAGGGAATATTTCCAAGGAGAATACATTCTGACCGTGTCTTCTTCAGAGAGATTGATGCATTTTAATTTTTGCAGGTCTAAGGATGATGGGGAGTCTAATGCCATGGGTTCATTAATAGATAGGACCATTTGGGATTCGGAATTGATCTTGTTTGGTGTGACGAAAGTGTTGGAATTCTTAGCCGTTTGCTCCACAAATGCTTGTGGGGTGATATAGGGGAATTAATACGTATGGATACTAGGTTGTTTTCCTCCACTTCCTGGGTTAGTAACTTATCCTTGAACGAATGGATTGGTGAAGATGAGATAGGTGTGCAAATGTATGGAGGTTTTGGAGGGATTTGATTAATAGGTCGGTGGACATGGCTGATTGATGTCATTCTCAAATTATTTGCAGAAATAGTAATCTTGACACCTATGCCATTGTAGAATTATTAAAGCTCATTTATAGATAGGCCACTTTTAGTAGAAGTAACTTTGGTAAAAAATTCCCAAAATACAATGTTGTTATTTAAGAAAAGAATTTGAGATTTAATACTTGCAATAGCTTATAGTAGATTTTATTAATAACTTAATGATACATAATTTATGCTACTTTACAGTTTCAGCAATAAGTTGTAATCTCCTTACTCGCAACAAAATATCAGCATTTTATTTTTATTTTCGCTGTCAATAGAATATTATCTTCCAAAATTAAATGGAAAATTTGCTTATGATTGAGAAAAAGATTCTCCCGAATTTTAGTTTCTTGCACTAGAATATTTTCTCCACAAGAAAAATAAAAGTTAATAACACACTTCTCATTATTAACTTTTATCATTATCATTATTATTATATCACCACCACAAAAACATTCTAACATAAATTGAGATTGGGATCGATTATATAAACCATATTTTATCCGGTTAAGCTCAACCTCTTAATCATCATCGTACTAAATAAAAGTAAAAGTAAAAATTAATTTAAATATATCCAAATAATAATAATAATAATAATAATAATAAGTTATTGTATCCAAATAAGTTAAATATATCCAAATAATAAAATAAGTTATTATTATTATTATTATTATTATTATTATTATTATTATTATTATTATTATTATTATTAATTTCAGAGACATCCCTCACGTTTCGCTCTATCACACTAACCTCCCTCATGGTTTAAGATATTACACATGCTTCCTTTATTTTGGTTTCTTTATAACAATTCTTTTAATTAATTTATTATTAATATAAAATTTTGTAATATGACTATCCTACCCTTTAAAATACAGTTTTTAATTTAATTATTTTATAAACAAGGAGGTTAAAAGCTAAATCCTAAATCTGTTGAAACCATTAACAGCCGACAACACCTATGATTTACGCTGCCATAATCCAGATATTCCAAACTATCATCGGGATGAAGGTGGATTGCTATATAGACATTGCTTTTGTTACGGTCAATATGTTAACTTTTCTGGAAATTGTTCATTATGTCTTCTCTTCCTATGAAAGTTTAGATTATATTTTTTCCATGCCTAATGAAACAGACTTGATATGTTCCATACAGAATGAACTTGATTCCTATCCAAGAGCTCTAATAATCATTTTTATCTATTAAACCTTTTAGCTTTCAACCTTCTTATTTATAAAATTAATTATGTAAATAACAAATTATATTTGAAAGGCAATTTAGTCAGACCATAATTTTTGATATTAATAACAAATAGATTAAAAGAATTGTTAGGAAGAAATCAAAATACGGGAGGTAAGCACAATATGGTAAACCACAAGGGAGGTCACTGCGATGGAGCAAAACATGACAAAATTATCCCTTATTGTTATTATTATTATTATTATTATTCGTACCCGAAGCTATACTCAACCGCCTGTGAGAAGCAATTTTTTGTTTTTCTTTTTTCTCCACTGTATTTCCAACCTCCTTTCATAGGGTTTTTGGTGTGTCCCAAACTTCACCACTCTTTTCCCTCCAATCCTGCTTCTCTTTTCAATCCTTCCGTCTTCTTCGAGGTATGCTTCTATTGCTAATGCAATAACTCCCTAATTCTTATTTTCCTACCTTGTAATTTTTAGCTTCTCTATAAATTTAACTTTTTGCTCTATGCATATTGCATTCTTAAAGCAATAATCTTTTATCTCCTAATGGCAAGAGGACCAGCAAGAAATCTCCTTTATCTCTATTTATCCAATAATAACAGTTCAAAGTTTAGATTTTTTTCAGTCTCCAGTAGATTCCTACATACCCATTTCACAGAACCAAAAAAAATCCAAGATTTTCACATTTGTGGACACCCTTTACCAACCCCACCTCAATTTTCACCTTTATGGTTTAATCAGTGGAAAAGGTTTGATCTTTTTAATTTTTATGGACACCCTTTTTCCACAGTGGTGGAAAATGAAGATAATGAATCAGAACTTTGTAATTTGGATGTGGAAGAGAATGAGTGTGAAAATGGAACATTAGGGTCTGAGAAAAGATTGAATTTTGTTCAAATAGCTAGTCGTGATCCGGTCGAAATATATAAGGAGCTTAGGGGTGCTTCTAAGGGGGAAAAGCAAACGCGAGCCGATTGGGATGTTTTGATTGAGATATTTAGATGTTTTGCTAAGTCCGGATGGGCTTCGAATCAGGCTTTAGCTGTGTATATTGGTGCTGCATTCTTTCCTACAGCAGCGCATAAATTTCGTAACTTTTTCTTTAAGAAGTGCAAGGCTGATATTGCAAAGTACTTAGTGTCGCTTGGTCCGTGCATTGAGGCTGAAAAGTTTCTGTTTCCGATCTTCGTGGAGTTTTGCTTAGAAGAGTTTCCTGATGAGATAAAATGCTTCAGGAAAATGGTTGAGTCGGCGGATTTGACAAAACCTCATACTTGGTTTCCATTTGCCAGGGCGATGAAACGCAAGATCATATATCACTGTGGTCCCACAAATAGTGGTAAAACATATAATGCATTGCAAAGGTTCATGGAAGCGAAGAAGGGAATTTATTGTAGTCCTCTAAGATTGTTGGCTATGGAGGTTTTCGATAAGGTGAATGGATTAGGAGTATATTGTAGTCTTCTTACAGGGCAGGAGAAGAAGCATGTCCCATTTTCTAATCACGTTGCCTGCACGGTTGAGATGGTTTCAACTGATGAGATGTATGATGTAGCAGTTATTGATGAAATCCAAATGATGGCGGACTCGCATAGAGGTTATGCATGGACAAGGGCTCTACTAGGGTTAAAGGCGGACGAGATACATGTTTGTGGAGATCCAAGTGTACTGGATATTGTTCGCAAAATCTGTTCTGAAACTGGGGATGGGTTGGTAGAACAACATTATGAGAGGTTTAAGCCGTTGGTGGTTGAAGCCAAGACTCTTTTAGGTGATCTGAAAAACGTGAGGTCCGGGGATTGTGTTGTTGCTTTTTCAAGGAGAGAAATATTTGAGGTTAAATTGGCGATTGAGAAGCATACTAATCACCGTTGTTGTGTAATATATGGTGCCTTACCACCAGAAACTCGAAGACAGCAAGCTACCTTGTTTAACGATCCGAACAATGAATTTGATGTCTTGGTTGCCAGTGACGCAGTCGGTATGGGTTTAAACCTGAACATTCGAAGAATCATCTTCAACACCCTATCAAAGTACAATGGTGACAAGATTGTTCCTGTTCCCTCGTCACAGGTGAAGCAGATTGCGGGAAGAGCTGGTAGAAGGGGAAGTCGCTATCCTGAAGGATTAACCACCACTTTACAGCTGGAGGATTTAGACTATTTAATCGAGTGTCTGAAGAAGCCATTTGACGAAGTTCACAAAGTTGGGCTTTTTCCTTTCTATGAGCAGGTTGAGTTATTTGCGGGGCAAATTCCAAACTCTACATTCTCCGAGCTGCTTGATAGGTTTGGTGAAAATTGCCGTTTGGATGGTTCTTATTTCTTGTGCCAGTATAACCACATAAAAAAGATAGCTAATATGCTGGAGAAAGTTCAAGGATTATCTCTTGAAGATCGTTTCAATTTTTGCTTTGCTCCTGTTAACATTAGAGACCCAAAAGCAATGTACCATCTTCTGAAGTTTGCGTCATCGTATGCACAAGAACTGCCTGTTAATATAGCAATGGGCATGCCAAAATGTTCTGCTCGTAATGATTCGGAGCTCTTGGATCTCGAGACTAGGCACCAAGTGTTGTCCATGTATATGTGGTTATCTAATCACTTTGAGAACGACAAATTTCCATATTTCAAAAAGGCTGAGGCAATGGCAACAGGGATTGCTGAGTTACTAGGTGAATCACTAGCAAATGCTCGGTGGAAGCCAGAGTCAAGGAATTCCGGGAAACAAAAAGGCCAGGAGAAGGATGGTGGTAATGAAAGGCCAAGGTCAGTTGTTAAGTTCGACTGAGTTCTTCTTTGTCTGTAATTGATTATTTCTTTCTTGACTTTATTTGAGCAATTTAAGTAATATACGCAAAATGACATCTAAATTATGCTGGATGAGTCAAACTCATGCCCCTCTAATGAATTGGTAAAGGCAATTGTTACCTTTTACTTTATTTTTGGTAGTTTGTTATGATCACCTAATTATCACTTAACGAGATACTTCCAAAATCATTGCAATTGTGGAGGTGTTGTGATTGGCCATTCAAACTTTTTCATCTTTACTTTTCATTTTCCGCTGAAGTATTAAAAATTTGTAGCTTTAATATCTGATTCTGTAACCTGGCCCTGGGCATAGAAGTGAGTTGGTCATTTTAATTCGTTTTCCTTGAGATTCCTATGGCGAAAAGCAATGGTTAATACGAGTGATTCTAGAGGTAAAATCAGTGAGTACATTTTACTGCACTTTAGTACTGGGTTTCTTATTCCTTGTACTCGATACCATGCTTGCAAAGACCAATGCAATTTATTCCTGGTAGGACCCGCTTCTTCTTCTAACCAGCATGAGAGAGGAAAAGGCTGCGGGGCCACAGGAATCGGGATCTTGCTTGACGCTAACAGAATCTTATTTGCATTAGAAGTATATTGCATGAAGAGATAATAGGTTGAGGAGGTGCATTTATGTCTTTGCTTAATCTTATATCATTTCCAAAATTTACTCCTCATATACAAGTCATTCACAGAAAGGCCTTTAGAAGTTTATGTCAATCTTTTGTTACTCAAACAATTTACAGTTAAAGTTATGTTTGTTGTATACTTTGTTTATCTTATTACCTTATGCAACTATATGCAATATACATATTTTACCTGCGAGAGCGAATTCTAAGATGTCAGGAATTTGTTTATTCATTTGATTTCATTTTCAGGAGAAGTCAGGAAACACCTTTGTCTCAACAGCAGCAGCTGGAGAAGGTTGCTGCATAATACATCTAGTTTGGTGGTTCTTGTACTATAGACTTGTACGGGCATCCGGTAAAGCAGATAGTCTTGTACAGCTCCCAGATATAGTAGACTAGACTTGGAATATGACAAGCAAGAAGACGCAAGCTTCGTCCAGATGTTATCGCGTTTAGGTCCCTGCAAGGGTGCATTGTTATTTTTTAGCGTAAATTCACATGTTTAGTCATGATGCATCGTGTTTTTATTAAAGGAATGAAAGATTCGCAACAGAGGGTCTCTACTAAACTGACTTGTTCAATCATTGACTACTGGAGTGAAGCTAATGGAGATTTAATGACTTAAAGAGTATGTGATCCGAATACATAGAAGCTGCGTCAAAATCTAGCAACATCAGAATCGAGGGAAGGTGGAGGATTCTGATGCTTAGTACGTTTATTTGTTAGGTGAGCTTTACTTTATCATGGCCACTGATGACTATTGGATGAAAGCCTCATATGTAGTTCATCTCAAAGGTCTCATATGTAGTTGTGCTATGTATAACATGCATATTTATTGTTGTGAGTTCTGAGGGAATTCTCTGAACATTTCTGGCTCTGTGATAAAGAATAATGGCTAAAAGCTTGATCTTTTCCTGTGGAATTGTCTTTGCTTTTACCTATTTTGGAATTTGATGTGTGTGTGAATTAGGAGGTTTTCTGGCACGTAACATTGCAAACGCTTACATGTAATTGATGTGGCTAGGAAGGTAAATACTTACCTGCATCTGATATTTACACCTAAAATTTATCAATTTACCAATGGTTAAATGATTTGAGGTGACAGTATTTTTCAATAAACCATGATAAAGTGATAGAAGTTCATGTGTTAATAATCCATATTATGCACCTATTGGTTTAATGTAAACATTTAGTGCAGGTAAATTTTTATGGTCTAGGTGGTTATGTTTTGAAGCAAAAGTGATAGAAGTTCATGTGTTAACACAAGTTATATCTACTAGTTTTATGTGAGCATTAGGTGCGATTAAGTTTTATCGGTTAGGACACTACTATTTGAAGCAGATGTATTACCACAATAATAACAATTACGTGTCAATCTCAAACAAGTTAGAAAGATTTTTCTTCATCCGGGGTTCATTCATTATGAACTAAAAAGTGGTTGGCTGATTAGTGAGGTCTTAAAAACGTCATAGAATTCATGATCGGCCATTCCATTTTTGCTTTCAGCAAGTAGGCGACGCGAATCTATGCTTTCTATCTTTCAAACGGATACCAATTGCTTGGATGCCTTTGAAAGCCTCGAGATGACTTGCAGAAAAAATTCTTTCTGGGTTTGTCTTGTGTCTCCGAAACAATTGGTCCATTTATTGATGGGCAAACGACGGGGATTGAACCCGCGCGTGGTGGATTCACAATCCACTGCCTTGATCCACTTGGCTACATCCGCCCCTACCCACGCACAGGTTAGAAGTCTCTATCTACGATCAGATCCTTTCTGAACTCCCCTATGACCACTTATCAAAGAGACATATTGAAAATAAGTTTAAGAATAAATAAGTTCAAGAATGAGCTTAACAACCGCAATTATGATTTATGAAAGACAAACTCCTAACTGGATAATATAGTTTAGCAGTCTGCTGAATTGAGGCAATGTCTTATTTTGTTGAAGAAGAGTTTCTTCAGTTTCATATACCCCAGCTTCTCCTATCTTAGTGTGTAAAACTCAAGAACACAGCAAACCTGCTGATTAAATTACAGAAAAAGGTACAAACCAGAGACCCAAGTTATGGTGCCATTTATGAGAACATTCACTGTGGCACATCAATTTACAGTCTTCTCTGCTCTCTTCTTTTGATCCCAATACAAAGAATCCATCAACTTTAAAACTGATAACACTGGCAGGAAAAAGTGAACGAAAAATCTTATTACAGGTATCGAAACCCGATGCTCATTTCCTTAGCAAGGCACTACACTGAGCCATAATCTTTGAGGCCCTAGTAATTGCATCAGTCATGTAGAAGTTCTCCACAGCAGGGGTGAATGGAGTTGAACTTACTTTTTGGCTGACCTCAGGTCTCAAAGCAGTTGAGAATGTGGCTGGTGTTCTCTCATCCAATTCTAGGAGATTTGGTGCCACTGTCCCAATTCGAGATCGGATTGCCCCTAGACTATCATAGGGTAATCCAATACCTGCGACCTCAGATAACGCTCTGATTATCTTCCAATCATCCCTGGAATCACCAACAGTAGGAACGGCTGGCAGTGTGATCTGAGCACATCCTTCTGTGTTTTCATATATTCCTTCTTTCTCGGTGAAAGCAGATGCCGGCAAAATCACATTGGCACGATATACACCACGATCACCATGGTGACCTTGGTATACCACAAAGGCGTCATCTGGAAGTTTGTCCAAGCTCACATCATCAGCACCCATCAAATATACAAACTTCGCAGAATCAATGCATTTTTCAGATTCAGGCACAAGTCCAAGATCAAGAGCGGCAGCTTGGGCAGCATTCAGCAGCAACACGTTTAGTCCATTCCAATCAGATCTCACAACATTATTGTTCTTCGCAATAGTGTCAACAGCAGCGAAAACAGCATCCTTGTCCTCTCGGTCAAACACACCAGCACCGACGATGATGACTGGGTTCTTAGCATTTTTAAGAGCCGAGGAGAAGGGGTGGCGGCCCTCAGCAATTTCAACCAGTGTTTGAGGGTCTGTTCCAAGATGTTGATGATCGTAGTTGAAATCAGCAGCAGCCCCAATATAACCCACCTTAGCATTATTTGCTCTAACTGTTTTGTGTATTCTGGCATTCACCATAGCAGCTTCCACCCTTGGCTGGAATTCAAGAAGTCAATCACCAATAAAGGATGAAAATAATAGATATGCAGCTAGCTGAAGACAATAAATAAATGTGCAACATTGCCACAAAAAGAACCTAGGTACCCGAGTTACCCCCAAAAATTGCAACGTTCAAGTACCATTATCCACACTTCATTAGACTCAATGTCGTTAAAGTTGCACCGGACTACACAAGATTTCCAGATGAATAAGGTAGGGTATTAGTATATCTAATTTAGATGTGACCCCAGTGAGAAAACTTCTTAAATGCTTTGATGTTCCACATATTCTTCACACCTCCCTGCTCTTTCCTCATTGAATAACTTCATGTAATAACATACCATCAATGATTTCTCTATTTCCCCCCTGCCAGACCACCTCCCCCCCCCCCCCCACCCAAAAAAAAACAACCTCGTCTTCTTTAGAGCTATCATCAGGGGCGTATCTAGCCTTATGGTACCGGGTTATTCTGAACCCAGTCCCAGTACTTCTTAACGTGGAGCATAATTTACGTATAAAAATTCATTAAAACTGTAGCAAATAGTAGATATGAACCCATAACTTTAGAAATATAATGGGTTTAATGCTAAAAGACTTTGAGATTGAACCCATATGGTTTAAATCCTGGAACCGCCTCTGACGATCATTGATTTTTCTTTGAACTCTACAATATTGCATTCTCAGTACTTGATGTTATTTATTTTGTTTTAAGGAAAGGAGAGGAAGGGGGAAGGGAAAACTCTCTCTGAGTCTGAGTCTGAGTCTGAGAGAGAGAGAGAGAGACAAGTTTTTCCTATCAGTGTAAAAGTGAAAGCTGAAAGTTTTATCAATTGAAAGAATTTATGCTCTTACCATGACAAGACTAATCTAAATTGAAAAAAGGCATTACCATGAGATGTTTCTCTCAACTGGCTACAGCTAAAACTTTTCGGTGATAAGGAAACAATTAAACTTGGCTAAAGCTAAATCTACCCATCCCTCCCCCAAAAGAACACCCTGGCATGCCTTTACTGTATCTGGACAAGTGTGCCAACAGGGAAAGGGGTAGGAGACATGGATACAGGAAGTGAATGAAAAATCATGGACTTTCTCAATCAACTATGGACACATTTAAAATATCAGACAACTGCCCTTGCGAAATTACAACCAACCAAATGCTTACAAACATTTACCTGGGTTCCAACCAAGAGGAAAACATCTGCTTTCTCCAAGCCACTGATGCTGGTATTCATAATGTATCCAGAACGAAGGTCAGCATTTGGTTGCGTGCCATTCCCTTCACAAAAGATGTTGTTTGACCCCATTTTGTTCAAAAGATCTTTCAGTGCCATCATGGATTCAGCATCAGACAGCTTTCCTGCAACACCGACGATTTCCTCTGGCTTAATTTGATGCATGACTTCAGCAACAATAGCTAGGGCATCTCGCCAACTCACTGCCTTAAATCGTCCATCAGCACCACGGATCATGGGGTCATTCAGTCTTTGCCTCTTCAGACCATCATAAAAGAATCGTGTTTTGTCTGATATCCATTCCTCGTTGATGTCCTGCGCCATTATGTGCAGCAACTCACTGTTTTAATTTACAATGGAAGGCAAAGGAAAAAACACAATAATATAAACAATAATTCAGAATTCTACTATCAAGAAGCGACAGATTTTCCTTTCAGTACAGTTCCAAAAATTGTCAACGTCCAAGACTATGGAAGTGCAGAGGTTCAGAGGAAAAAAGCACATAAAGAAAAACCACCAAGGGATCCGATTCACATCAACGATGTATTCACAGTTAATACTGAATCTCATAGATATATTTCCTTTCACTGAAAGAAGCATGCTTCTTGAATGGTTAAGCGCAAAATGAAGGGTGAAATGGCCATTATACTTGCACGGCTGCATTCCACTGAATGCAAATGAGAAGGATGGAAAAACAGGAAGCTACAACCTTAGAGAAGCAGAAATCATTTTTAGTCAGTACATCATTCAACCTCTATTGCGCTAGTTACACCTCCTTTCAGAATCAGGTGCAGCCTCTTCACCTAAGCTTTTCTTTTTCCAAAATAAAGTCTCTCACTTATTAGCTTCTTAGCTAACAATAAGAGATTAGGTCACAGAAATTATCAATTTTTTTTAGATTGAACACAAATGATCAAATTTAACTAAACAACGAAGAGAAGATGGCAGAGCCTTGGAAAACACTCCACTTATGCACAAGCACTGTGGAAACAAAAAAATGATTTAAACCACCCTCACAGCTTGGCTACCCACACATACTAAAAAGTGGAAAAACCTCCAACCAGAACAAAGTGCAGGCATTCAAGACAACCAGGTGATAGGCATGAATATGATAATCCATGTATTAGCACCACTAAACATTTCAAAGAGGAAAGACATAAGAAAAATAATAAAGTGCAGTACCTCGTTTAATCGCGGTACAACACGCATGACCTCCGGACCTCTACTATCAATTCGAATGTTAGAACCAACGGCATCAGTCACATCAATGCTTTCTGTGCCCTTTAGCTCCCAATTTCTGGCTTTAAAGGCAAAAGGTTTTGAGGTAAGGGCTCCAACTGGACAAATATCAATCACATTCCCTGAAAGTTCACTTGTCATAAGTTTTTCAACATAAGTTCCAATTTCTTCTCCACTACCACGACCCAACATTCCAAGGTCCTCTGTTCCAGCTACTTCTGTAGCAAACCTGACGCACCTGTTACACCAACAGCAAAAAATTACAGGATACTGTGCAAGAGATATAAAATGCAGAAGCAAGTCTTTACTAATCCTCATGCATCT